GAAAGGAAAGGAGCGTAACGGCCGGGACCGGGGCAGATCGAGCAGCGCGTGCAGCCGGGACACGGCAGCGCCCCACACCTGCCAAGAAGCCGCTAGAACTCCGTGAGCGCAGGGCAGTCAGCAGCCACGAGATCAACAACACGGTCATTTTGTGTCCACATGTCACCATAGGGGAACGGTCGGAAAGCTGAATTTAAAAATTAACGTTTACAGTAGCAGTAAAAACCACAGCATACTTAGGGGTAAATTAAAATATGGGCACAGTGTGGCCGCTGAGAAGCACGGAGTGCAGACGAGAGCCGAGAGGAGGGCTGGGCCCGGGGCTGCGCTGGAAGGGCTCAGCGTCGAGACCCTGCAGTCCGTCCCGGACTCAGCTGTGCTCCCCCCACCCCGGGCTTGTGTGGAAGCCCCTCCCACGTGACCGCATTTGGGGTAGTGAGGGCCACGCGAAGTCCTCAGCATGAGCACTGGTGTCCCACAAGAACAGGGAGGGCTGGGGGCCCCTCCCAGGAAGGGGGCCTCAGGGGACCAGCCCCAGCACTACGACCTTGGACTTCTGGCCCGCATTGCTGAGAAAGCATTGCACTGCGGAGGCCGCCTGAACAGACCGAGACACCCCAGGCCACTCCACAGACGCGGTGTCACCCCATGGAAAAAACTGGCAGACTCTTTTTTTGGGGGTGGACTTTTTACAAGCTGACTCTAAAATGTATGTGGAAATGCAAGGGGACGAGGAAAGCCAAAACGATTCTGAAAAATGAGTGTTACAAAAAGGAGCTCGCCCCCGGATTCGAGCCGGATGTCAAAGCTGCAGTGGCCGAGACCCTGGGGTGTTGGGGTGGGGACAAGCCCCATGACGGCCACGCGCAGGAAAGCTGCCAGAAGCAGGCCCCGGAGACACAGCAGCAGTTTGTCTGTCTGTCTGTCTGTTTGTTTTAAACAAAGAAGCCACATTATTAATTGGGAGAAAAAGTCTTCAACAAATGATGCCAACTTCTCCCTCACAGCGCATACCAAAGCCAGCCTGTGGTGGGTCATAGCCCGAAGCTGAAACTAAATCTTCCAGAAGGTGCGACAGGAACTCACTGAGGCCTGGGGATGGGCAAGTGTCTGTCTCCAGGACGCAGAACAGCATTAACTGTGCAAGAAAAAATGGATGAGTTAAATTTAACTAAAATGAAAACCTCCACTGATTGAACAAACCGCCAATAAAGTATGAAAACGTCTGACAAAGGATCTGCATCCAGAACGCTTAAAGGGATCCTGCAATCAAGAAAGAACAGACAATCCAGTGAGAAGCGGGCAGGAGGCCTGGACAGACACGTGACTGCCCCGTCAGCACGTCAGCCGGGACGGGCGAGGCGCCCCGAGCCTGGCCCCAGCGCAGCCCCCGGCCACTGACCCGCGAGAGCGGCAGCACCGGGTGTGGGCGGAGGTGCGGAGCCGTCAGCGCCGCCGGTGGGGTGCGATGGGGGGCACGCTCCGGAAAGACGGGCCCCTGCGAAGTGGCGCCTGCAGTGCCACGTCTCAGGGTTCTTGCAGAGCCCACGCAGGAGAAACAAAGCTGCTGTCCGCCAGCGTCCATCACAGCTGAAACTCGGCAACGCGCCATGTGCCCATCCGGAAGAGACGGAGAGACACTGGGTGACATCTCGCGGACCGGTCGCTGCTCAGCAGTGTGTGCAGGTGGCCGATACATGCAGCTTGGCCAGGGGACCAGTGGAGTGATCCCGGCTGGCGGTGACAGCACGGGGTCTGCGATGGGACGCCCTGGAGGGCGGAGCCCGTGTCTGGTCACCACAGGCCGAGTGGTGAGGGATGGATGGTGTGTGGGGGGTGAGGCGGGCCTGGGGTACACGTGGGGGGACCATGGGCTCGGGCAAACCGTGCGACCGGGGCTAAGTGTGTGCCACGCTGGTTGTGTCGGCGGTCCCCTGCCAATCGTGTCCCTCAGTCACAGAGCCGCGGCGAGCGACAGCCCACGGCATCTACCTGAGGGCAGGGTGGCCACTGCAGGCGGACACGTGGCCAGTGACTGCGCTCCTCAGCACATTCCCACGGATGGGTGTGCACGGCAGCCACGGTGAGTCATGGCCACCAGGTGGGGACGGATGCGCCGCTGTGCTGCCACCTGCCCCCAGGGACACTCCTGGCACACAGCTGTGCGGCCTTCGCGTGCCCCAAGCTTCAAGAGCAGCTGTACCCAGCCTGTGGTGGCCCAGCCCTGCGGGCAGGCCTGGGACCAAGGCGGCCTGCGTGGTGGCGGCTGCAGGCGCCCACGTGCAGGCCCCACGACTCCACGTGCTACTCGCTGGGAAAGGGAAGAAGACAGGCCAGCAGGAGAGCAAGGCTCAGCTGGCATCACCTCACCCACCGTGGGGCTCGGGCGGGACAGCAGCATGCCGTGCCAGGCACTCGGCGCACGCGGGCTAAAGGGAATATTTCCACAGTGACGCACGGTGCTGCCATGCTCTGCACCCCAGCCCCGCGGCCCAAGCCGAGTGTGGTGATGCCTGGAAGCGTGGTCTCTGGGACGCGGACCCCAGGCTCGGGGTGGGGAGCAGAGGGTGGCCAGCCCCCCGCAGAAGCCACAGCTGCTGGCGCCCAAGGCAGGCTGAAGGCGGGGGGCCGGTGAGGGCCTGGGAGGCCGTCTGGGCTCCAGCCAGAAGCGGACACGGGACAGCAGGGAGCACACCAGGGCGGGGCGCGCGAGCAGGGCGGACTCCCAGGCCAGCCGCCTCTAAGCCCAGCGCCCCGCACCCCGGGCAGCCGTCTCCAGCTCGGGCCTGCTTTGGCCACAGTGACAGAAGCGACGGAAAGGAGGAGCTTACCGAAGGACAGCTGGCCGGGCAGCTCCTGGGGCTGAGGCAGTGGCGGGGACGGCCAGAGCAGCCCCGCGTCCCACGTCGCCCTGGGCCACCTTGCAGCCCAACCCCGTGGCCTCCGTGGGCCCCACGGTGTGGTGCGGACTGCGCTGGCTGGCAGGCGTGTGTGCTGGCACCCCACCCCCACCAGCGTTTCTCAGGAGCAGGATGGCTCCAGCGAGGCCTGAGCCTGCGGTGGGGAGGGGGCGAGGTCGCCCCACTCCCAAGTCCGGTGATGCCTGTGAGCGACCTGGGCGGGAGCATGGGGACGTGTCCCCACCTGTGGCCAGGACACCTGCTCAGCTGAACACACGATATGCCCCGTGAGACTCAAGAGACCAAGGGCTGTTTTGGGGGGTGACTGTGAGGCTGAAGGGGTCCCAGGGAAGGACTTGGGGATGGAGCTTGGGTTGTGAGGGCCCCTCTAGGCCTGCCAGGCCCCAGCGCCTCGCTGCTGACCTCAGGGGCAAGGGGACGAGCACACACAAGCTGGGCGCCAGGAATGCACAGCAGCTTCCGCCTCACACGGAAAGGAGAAATAGAAACCCTTTTATTAACATGTTTTCCATTTACAGTTTATTGGCTAATCCACATCGACATGCAGAAATAAGCACTGAATACAAACCTCTACGATATGGGTGTGGCAACTACAATGGTCACTTGATTCGAAAAGTCGTCGGAGGCGATCTGAACCATCAGCTTCTGTAGCGAACGGCGTTGGGGTCTGCAGTCAGGGAGCCAGCCGGCAAGGCCTCTGCAGACACCGCCCCGCGGACGCCACGCAGTGTGTTCTGTGCGGGACGCCGACCCCGCTCGGCCTCGGACGCGCGGGGAGGCCACGGCACGGGGTCCTGGCAGCAGCTCCGCAGCCCCCGCGCCCCGTGGCTCTGCATCACGTCACTGCAGGTGGTGCGGCACGGTCACCCCTCCAGGCCACGGTGCAGGACCAGCCTGTCCCCAGGCTTCGGCATCAGCAGCAGGGGGGACCGAGGAGGACACGGGGATCCCTGGCGCCCGCATCCAAGGTGCTCCGCGCGCCCCTCGGCGGTTGGCCGGTCTCAGAAATCGCTGTCAGGGGCCAAAGTCCTCAGAGCATCAGAGAGCTGACTCGGGGCCAGAAGCCCGCCCATCGAGGCCGTCTTCACGTGCGTATGAGCATGTGACCCTCGCTCCCTCCCAAGAGCATCTGCCGTCGCTCACGGGTCTTTGGTCGCAGGAAACAGGGCCGCGGCCACGAGCGGCCTACATGATGTACACCTTCTCGGCCTGGGAGAAGTGGAAGGTCTCTTTGGTGCGTGGGCAGACGACTTTGTCGTCCTGGCGGATGGACAGCAGGGACTGGAAGACAAGACTGGGCGTCACGGCCAAGGCAGCTCAGAGCGTGGCTCCTGCAGGCAGAGCCCACCCCGAGCGGCTGGGAACCGAGCCACCGTCCTGCAGGAGCTGCTGCCGAGGGCCCTGGCAGCCACCCCGCCCCGCACGCCGCCCGCCCACCCGCGGCCTCACGTTGTAGCCGTAGACGTGGCCGTTGGGCAGCATCATGGGCGGGTTGTTCTCGTTCATCACGTCGCCCGAGATCTTGCAGACCAGGCGTGAGTTGGCGCAGTGGGCCATGGGCAGCGGCTGTGCCAGCTTGTTCAGGGAGCGGCTGCACACGGGGCAGTCGGGGCTCCGGGAGCTCCTGTCCCCCTTGTAGCACTGCCTGTGCCGGGTCAAGGAAGCGTCGGGGCAGCGGGCGCCAGGGCAGGACAGGGTCAGGGGCTGCTCGCGGCCACTTGGGCACCGGGCAGGAAGACGCACCCCTGCCTGCCCGGGCGTGGCCCCCCTCCACGGGACGTCACCACGGACACCAGCGAAGCCACAGCTACAGGACGCGCCCTGGCTCTCTGCTGGGCGCCAGCGGCCAGGGACACTCACCCACTCGTCACGAGTAGGCCTGCCCAGGGCGCCCAACCTCAGATGGCGGTTAAGAGGCCAACGGCCAGGGGTGCTGAGGGGAGGAGCGGAGGGGCAGTCCCGGAGGGCCCCAGGCCTTGGGGTCACAGCGCCTCACTCCGGCCATGGAGGAGGATCTGCTCTGCGGGAGATGGGGACAGCTTGTGAGCTC